TTGAACCCAGACCTTGCGTGTGTGATGCAAACGCTCCATCCCAGCCCTGGAGAAGTATAAAATGTGATGAGTACCTTTTTATTTTATTTTTTAAATTTGTTTGTTTGTTTGTCTTCCAGTACCAGGGAGCCCAGGGGTGCTCTACCACCGAGCTACACCCCCAGACTTTTTTGAGTGAGATGGATCTCACTAAGTTGCTGAAGCTGGCCCTAAACTTGGAATCCTCCTGCTCCAGCTTCTGAGCTGCTGGGGTTACAGGTGTGTGTCACTGCGCCCCGCTTTATGTGCACTTTAGGAAGAAATCAGAAAGGGATGTTTTAAAGATTGATATGGCCAAGGACAGGGACAGGATGGGGGGTCCAGGCACGGGCAGAACCCCTTCAAGCCAGCAGCAGCCTTTCTCAGCTCTCTTTGTCCCTTGTTCCCATGTCATGGGTGAGAGGGACCAGTGGCCAAGTACCTTCCTACCAGGCACTGTGCTCAGAGATCATTTGCTTTTACAAATGGAAAAAACAAAATATTAAACAACCTGTGAGCCTGTGGGCTGGCCTTTGTGTTTTTCTGACACTTCATCTTGTTGTCACCTCTTCTGTCCCCCACCCCCCATATCTTTCTTACTGTGTCTAACTACGCAGGGTGAAATGCACAGAGCTCGAGTGCTTGATGAGTCTCCTCTAAGGTATCCACACCTGTAAGCATGCCCTGGACAAGGGATGGTATCTCAGCCCCCAGGATGTCCCCCACACCCCTTTCCACCCAGCCCCTCCCCTTCGAGAGCAGCCTGCTGGGAGCTGTCTCCCAGGTCTGGTTTGCCGTGGCTGTCCGGGGGTGCAGGCGGGCTCTCCTTCGCTTTCATTGCAAAATGGAGACCGGACGAGCACTCGAGGAGTGCTGTGGCCAGGGTCCACTGGCCCGGGTGCTGCATCTCTGAATTGCCACCTGTCCCCACCTGTCCTCGCTCACGGCCAGCCTCTTGCCTCTGCATGGCACACTGACCCACTTTCTGCCTGCAAAGCCTGCCCTGCCCCATGCTGCTGGGTGCTCCCCCTGCCTGAGCTTTCCTTCACCACCCTCTGCACAGCCAGGATGAAGTGGCTGGTCACGTGTCATTTTACCTTCACTACCTGTGACTCCTCCCCCAAGTGGCTAACTCATGTAGGGGGAGTGTGGGTCTCAAGGAGGGCTGTGAGGGGGAAGGGAGGAGGGAGGTCGGGGGACAGCACCAAGGTAGGGTTCACAGGGCTGCCTGAGCCCGTGCCTTCTCTGCCAGTGCCCCTTCAGGCCCTGGGGGTGTCCCGGGGGAAGGCGCCTCTGTCTGCACCTTGCAGTGGCTGGAGAGGTGGGATGGTGTGCTCGGGGCTGCTGCCACAGGAGGCGTAGAGACCACAGATGTGACTCCTCACAGCTCTGGAGGCTGGGAGTCCAAGGTCCGGACACGGGCAGGCTCAGCACCTGGGGAGGCCCATTCCTGTTCATAGATGACGGCTTCTCGCTGGGTCCTCCGGTGGTGGAAGAGGCGTGAGTCTCTGGGTCTCTTTCCCACACAGGAAGGCTCTGCTGTCATGGCCCAATCTCCCTCTGAAGGCCTCCCTCCTGAGGCCCTTGCCCGGGGCTTGGGAGTCAACATATGAATTGGGGGACAAGGGCCTTCAGCCTAGAGCAAGTGGACAGACAGCTTGGCCCAGGTCCCAGAGTGCTGGCTTCTCCCGTCTTTTGGTGGCAGCCATCACAAGAGGGGACACTGCCTCTCAATGCAGACTGCACCAGGCATGTCAGGGTCACGTTTCAAAGCCACCACACACATAATTAGATCAAAAAACATCTCAAATTCACTGAGTGTCACCCAACTCTGTCCTAAATCTAGGTGGATGATTTGATATGAAACAGACATTTACATCCGACATTTACATAAATAAATGTAAAAGAGAAGCCGCGCAGGAGACAGCTCCAGGAGCTCTGCTGTCTGCTCCAGGCACGCTGGCCACGGGCCGCAGGTGGTCAGGGAGCCCGGTGCCTCCTGCCTATGCCCACAAGCCCCTACAGCCCCTCTCTCAGGCCCTGAGCTGCTCTAGTCAAGACCTGCTGTCCCACCTGGGAGTCGAGTGTGGCTACACTGCTGCCCCTGCCCTCTCCTCACTGACCCCCAGGCCGTGGCCTTGGCCCAGCAGTGTTGGAGGTGGCCAGTGCATTCCTACAGCAGAAAGCTAGACCCAAGGGCCCACGGGAGGCTCCGTCCACCTTACACCCCGCAGTGGGAGGGAAGGAGCACAGAGATACAGGAACATCAAATGACCACTGGCCTGGGGACAGAGCCGCCTTTGTCCTCCGCCTGCCAGGGGACACCTCCCCTCAGAGGCTGGTGACACCATGTTCCTTCAGAAGCGGGGGCCACAGATTCAGGCCTGAGGTGATCAGATTCCCTGTTCTGAAGGGGAACAGGACGGTGAAAGTGTGGGAAAGGGGCAAACAGGACGCCCAGGGCCTGGAGTGGACATGTACAGGACCCTGGGCACAGACAGCTGAGCCTTCAGCCTGTGGGAGAAGAGGGTGGGTGGGCCACGCCTCCTGGTGTGGCAGGTGAAGACACCCAGGTCCCGAGAGAGGAGTGGCCTTTCTGAGCTCACACAGCAGCCCAGGCTGCCCACATCTGGGTTGGTCCATTCCGAGGATCCTGCCCGTGTCCAGCTGATGGCCCAGAGCAGGGAGGGAGGCTGGACATGAGCCCTGCCCACACACGAGTGCCATTTCTGTGCCAGGACTCTGGGTTCCTCGCTCGGTCCTAACAGTGCCTGACCATGGGTGGAAGTGCTGTCACCAGTTGGGCGGCTGCAGAGAGAGGGTGGGCTGGGCTCACCCACCTGCAGAGCTGGCATGCAGGGCGAGCAGGGATGGCGCTAGGGCCAGGAGGGTGGGGCAGCGCTGGCCTTCAACAGCCTGGCCGGTTGTGACTTGACCTGGGGCATGATGGAGCCACCCAGGGTCTTAAGCAGAGGAGTCGGAGGTCAGGCTTGGTGTCTGGGGGAGGTTGAAGTGGGAGGAGCGTGGCGGGTGGCTGCAGCCCAGCTGGGAGGAGTGGTCCAGGAGGCTGGGATGAGGGCTTCCCCAGCCACAGAGCTGCGAGGCCGTGTAATTCAAAACGTTTGAAGATCACGGCTCCTAGACCTCCTCTTCCAAAGCAGACCAGGGAGGAGAACTAACTGCCCAAGTCCTAGCTTTGGGGGCTGTGCTTGAGTGTTCTGGGCCCATCCGTGGTGTCTGCTGTTGCCTCCCATTCAATCCCTGGTACCGTCTCCCCCCCACCCAAAAAAAAGGTCTATACTAACTTGGGAGACTAAGATCTCGGTTGTTTTGGGGGGGGGCACTGGGGATTGAACCTAGGGGTGCTTAACCACTGAGTCACATCCCCAGCCCTTTTTATATTTTAGTTTGAGAGAGGGTCTCCCTGAGTTGCTTGGCGCCTTGCTAAATTGCTAATGCTGGCCCTGAACTCATGATCCTCCTGCCTCAGCCTTCTGAGCTGCTGGGATTACAGGTGGGCGCCACTGCACCCAGCTAAGACCTCAGTTTTGAAGTGTCAGATAAGGAGACAGGAGTGTCAGATAAGGAGACCACTCTTTATTTTATGACGTTCTTGGCCAAAGGGGCAAATTACCCTTCTTTTATGGCTTTCCTAATGTACACCTGGGCATCTCCAACTACCTCCGGGGCCCTGAACAATCTTTTCTCCCAAACCTGAATGCCACAACACCTACACAAGGGCTGGAGGCCGTGTCGTGACATCTAGGTGGCCTCTTTGGGACATTTTTAGTGAGTGGGAGGGAGCCATGCTACAGAAGTCAGGGTGTGGCGAGGTTAGAGCCCAGAGACTGGGTCTCACCCTGCCAAACCACGTGCTCTGTGATGTCCAGAGGTCAAGGCCGCTGGTCTAACCTCTCTGAGCCTCATTCCTTCACTCAGCAGTGCCGGGCATCTTGCCGGAACCGGGATCCGGGATGAGTCAGTCAGACAGGCCCTTCCGTCCAGGCCCTCCTAGCTTCCTGGGAGAGGCAGATGAGGAAAGGCAGCAGGCAGGGTGCTCCCTCCCATCTGGGGAAGGTGGTGTAGCTGGCCGCTGGGCCTGCAGAAGGACTCCCTGGAGGAGGTGAGGCCCAGGAGCCATGTTCCTCTTCTGTTCGTTGGGGTGGTCATAAGAGTTAAAGCTTCTTGTTTCAGAGCTTAATTACATGTTAAACTGTGACTTTGTTACAAAAGTAATACATGCTCATGGTGAGAACTTGAGAAAGTAAGGAATTAAGTAAAAAAGTAAAACATCTCCTTCCTGCCCATCTCTGGAAGGACTAATTGCTGTCCACAGCCTCCCCGTGGCCTTCCAGAAACAACCTGCGTATATGGAAACACGTGGACAAAGCATTTAAAGCCCAGAGAAGCGGCAGTAGCTCCCACAGGTGAGCCTCCAGCAGGGCCAGGCTCCTGGCTGCCCTCGCTCTCCCACTTGACCCTACACCTTGGACTTGAACATGTTTCTACTCCATAAGCAGCTCCTCAGGAGGTTGCAGAACAGCCGGGGGTGTCTTAGGAGACGTGCACAAAGGCTCCCTGTGCCTCTGTCCCCGGGTGCCTAGCACTTCCTGCGCCGCCCCACAGAAGCCTCCCTGGGCTGTGTTTTCAGAGGAGGAAACTGAGGCTGCTCAGTGACAGAGGCAGCTAGGTTGTGACGAACCCCACCGGGCTCTGGAGCCAGAAGGAGGCCACACTGTCCTTGAGTCCTGGTTTCTGGAAGCAGCAGGATTAAATATAACCCAGGCAGGCGGCAGGCGGGGGTGGAAATCTCAGGCTCAACCAGAAAGTGCAGGCCAAAGGCCGGTCCATCCCTGCTGGCTCCGTGAGCAGTCCCCTGGGGTTCTGGCTGCGCCAGTGCTCCCTCCCACCCAGGTGCCCACGCAGGGAGAGGCCCAGTCCCCAAATGTGTCATCTGTGTGTGGATTGGTACCTTTGACCCAGTGACTCCTCTCCTCAAAATTGGGTCATGGTAAAAGTCACAGGCTCTGGCAAGTGGAGAGATCTGTCCTGTGGCCTGCACTTGGCCCCAGGGGGAATCGTGTCACTCGTTGCCCTCGTGACCCTGAGCCCAGGCAAGTCACTACACCTTTTTTTCATTTTTTAAAAATTGAGG